ACGAAATGGATCCGATCGATGCAGAGCGGAGGAGGAGAGCGCGCAGACAAGACCGGCTGCGGCGCAACGCGGGAGAGCCGGAGAAGCCGGAGGTGTCGGAGGTGCACAAGCTGAAGGATAATTTCCTTGTAATGCTTAGAATGGTGCTGGCCGAGTAGGACAAGGCCGTACCGAGGAGGGACAATATGTGCCATCATGGCCATTGGAGTTGGGATCTGAATTCCGCTATCAGGCGGAGCTTGTAATGGAAAAAGGGGTCATAACTCCCAATTTGCTCATGTGTTCAACTGTATTATGGAACTGATAGGTTGCAGAGCACAGAGGTGGTTACCATTGTTGGCATTATTATTACTCGGCCCTTTTCTCTCTCTCTTGATTGATTGACGACGAAAGCAATCACCGGGTTAATTAGATACCTAACAAATATTGAATTAATGTTATTATCTTTTTTGGTCTTTGCGTCTTGATTATTTAAAAAGGTACTAAATGTTTAGCTCGTTGATAAATACTGGGAAGCAGTTTAAAAAAAAAAAAACTAAAAAAAAAAAAAAAAAAATTTATAATCATAGAAGTTGGGATCGGAAGTCCAGACGAGCCGAGGATGTTTCCCCAAATTTGGGTTCAATGGACCCGCACACATGCTTCTCCGAGCCTCCCTATCGGCTCGATACCCAAATCGACGAGGCAAAACAGACATCGCAAGAACAGGTATGTTGTGTGCATCCCGTGCGCCGCATGCAGTGAGATTGCCGATATTTTAAGGTTCCATTCAGATCGTCTCAAGCGTGGCAAACATCTGGTTGTTGTGCCGTTTCTGTATCAAGAGAATCAAAACACGTGCAAGTTGAGACTTCCTAAAACAGAAGCTTCTTGAAAAGCCCAGCTGATGCAAACTTGAACGGGGACAAGGAGCTCGAAGCGGATTTTTATTGGCCACCCCAAGTCTCCCAGCAAAACCCCACATACTTTTTTGGCTGGAGTTGCCTCAAGTGCAGCGGCGGGCTTGGTCGGCAACTCGGGTAATCCGGTTTTTCTGATTGGTCCAATTGCCAGACAGCTCTGGCGGCCGGGACTTGGAGGGTGTGGGAATCATCGATGCGGGTGCATTGGCATTGAAAGAGGCTCAAATCTTTCCCTTGAAGGCTGAACACCTCCCCCCTCCCCCCTCCCCCTCCAGACCTCATTAGACCACCATGGCATCCTCAATGGCTTGGAGACGACTAGCCGCGGCGCCCGCGGTGAGTGATTCTTGCTTGTTCTTTTTATCCTCTGGACGAGCGTTGCAGCAGCATGCTTGCGCGCATGGGTTTTGCTAGAGGAGAGGGGAAAATAGTTGGAGCTGGTGGTTGTTATACATGTTCAATTGTTTGGCTGACCCGAGGTTCTGTTACCACATCTACAGCTCCCGCGCGCTCTGAGAACCCCTTCCAGGGCCTTTTCCACAACTCGACCGGCCGGTGAGTGCCCTTCTATATATCATCCCACGCTGCCGTAGCTCGTCGGCAAACCCCAGCGGAGATGGGCTGACATCGTCCACCTTGTGCAGCCCGCGTCATTGCCAACGGCCCGCTCCGGGCCAAGGAGGCATCGCCATTCCTCAGCAGCAAGTACCCTGTTATCGTATGTTCTCCCTCGGCCCAGTGCGACCCTCCATGAAACGGCAGCACGAGATTGACACTCGGCATTCTGCAGGACCACGAGTACGATGCAATCGTTGTCGGCGCTGGAGGTGCTGGACTTCGTGCCGCTTTCGGTCTTGCCGAGGCTGGCTTCAACACTGCGTGCATTTCCAAGCTCTTCCCCACGAGAAGTCACACAGTCGCTGCCCAGGGTGGCATCAACGCCGCCCTCGGAAACATGCACAAGGACGACTGGAGATGGCACATGTACGACACGGTGAAGGGCTCCGACTGGCTCGGTGACCAGGACGCCATTCACTACATGACCCGCGAGGCCCCCGCTTCCATCGTCGAGCTCGAGAACTACGGCTGCCCTTTTTCCAGAACTGAAGATGGCAAGATGTAAGTGGAAAAAAATATAAAAAAAAAAATATGTACTACTCATTTTGCGGGGGAAATCTGACGCCATCGTACAGTTACCAGCGTGCTTTCGGTGGTCAGTCGAAGGAGTACGGAAAGGGCGGCCAGGCTTACCGCTGCTGCGCTGCTGCCGACCGTACCGGTCACGCTCTTCTTCACACCCTCTACGGCCAGTCTCTCCGCCACAACACCAACTACTTCATCGAATACTTTGCCATTGATCTGATCATGCAAGATGGCGAGTGCCGTGGTGTCCTCGCTTACAACCAGGAGGATGGCACCCTGCACCGTTTCCTCGCTACCAACACCGTTCTCGCCACTGGTGGATACGGACGTGCCTACTTCTCGTGCACTTCCGCTCACACCTGCACTGGTGACGGCATGGCCATGGTTGCCCGCGCCGGCCTCCCCAACCAGGATCTCGAGTTCGTCCAGTTCCATCCTACCGGCATCTACGGTGCCGGCTGCCTGATCACCGAGGGCGCTCGTGGTGAGGGTGGTATCCTCCGCAATGCCCAGGGTGAGCGTTTCATGGAGAGATATGCGCCTACCGCCAAGGATCTTGCTTCCCGCGACGTCGTCTCCCGGTCCATGACCATGGAGATTCGTGATGGACGTGGTGTCGGCCCCGAGAAGGACCACATCTACCTCGATCTCAGCCATCTTGAACCAGAGATTCTTGCCGAGCGTCTACCTGGTATCTCCGAGACCGCCGGTATCTTCGCTGGTGTTGATGTTCGCAAGCAGCCCATTCCTGTTCTCCCCACCGTCCACTACAACATGGGCGGCATTCCCACTCGTTACACCGGTGAGGTTCTCACGGTCGATGAGTCTGGCAACGACAAGGTTGTTCCTGGTCTGTTCGCTTGCGGTGAGGCTGCTTGCGTGTCTGTCCACGGTGCCAACCGTCTCGGTGCCAACTCTCTCCTCGACTTGGTCGTTTTTGGCCGCGCCGTTTCCCACACCATTCGTGACAACTTCCAGCCTGGCCAGAAGCTGAAGCCCCTCGAGGCCGATGCCGGTTCCGAGTCCATTGAGGTTCTTGACAAGATCCGCAACTCGGATGGCCCCAAGAGCACCGCCGAGATTCGCCTTGCCATGCAGAAGACGATGCAGCGCGATGTCAGCGTTTTCCGTACGCAGGAGTCCCTTGATGAGGGAGTCCAGAAGATCCAAGAGGTCGACCAGACCTTCTCCCAGGTCGGCATCAAGGATCGCAGCATGATCTGGAACTCTGACCTCGTCGAGACCCTTGAGCTCCGCAACCTTCTCACTTGCGCGTAAGTTATTCTGGTCCAGGATGCCATTTTTGCGCAACAGAAACTAACAATTACAACAGTACCCAGACCGCCACCGCCGCCGCCAATCGCAAGGAGTCTCGTGGCGCTCACGCCCGCGAGGACTACCCTGAGCGTGACGACACGAACTGGATGAAGCACACCCTTACCTGGCAGAAGAAGCCCCACGGCAAGATTGACCTCGGTTATCGCCGTGTTATTGGCACTACCCTTGATGAGAACGAGTGCAAGGCCGTTCCTCCTTTCAAGCGTGTCTACTAAAGGAGCTATGAGTCAGAAAAGGGGGGGGGTGGATGTCTAATAACAATGTAAGCCTAAACTGAGTGTGGGGAGGTTGTATCGTATTATGGCGAAAAGAAATTGGATGGGTGATATCAAAGACAATCAATCGCATCGAGGTCTCAAAAAACGGACAGGCGGGGATAATCATCTAATCGATTCGAGGCAATGATGAGGAGGCAGGAAGCATTTTTTCTCATTCCAGTCACTTATGTGGGGAAGGTTGGATGAAGCACACAAACATATGCACGCAAACCCCTTTTCAACCCTTTCTCCCACCTCTTTTTAGTCTGGGTCAACTTGTGTGTTGTCCAAAAAATTTCCTATTATGGAAGGGGGCTTATTGGAACACATTGTAAATTCGAGGAGGGGGGCGACGATGGACGATGGAGATGATGGATATATTTTATGCAAAATGCATGTTACTTTTTCTCCCCGGTTGGATTTTAGCAAGCTTTCCTGTCGGCTTTGTTTACCATGCATACAGCCAGAGAAGTTAGGAAAAGGGGTTGAGGCGCAGTGAGGGAGAGAGAACGAGAATATAAGAAATGAAAGATGCGTCTTGAATTTTAATTTTTTTTTAGTGTGCCTGGTTTGATTGTGTGAAAATCTCTTGTTGAGGACTAGGTGGTTTTCATATATGAACAGGATGATATATATCCTGACTTTTGGTTGGAGCTGTTGTGTTTGTGCATTAAAGTATAAACATCCAGGCCAGTGGTGTATATATATATATATACATTTGGCAACTATAACATTTGGTTACAATGCACACAGCACAGTATAATTGAGGTAGAGGATAGCTTGGGTTCCTTGCCTCTTTCCAAAATGATAGTTTAGAAATTTTTGTGAAATAGAAGAATAAGAAATAAAATGGGGGAGGGGGAGGAGGTTAAGATAAAAAGAGTAAAACTTTTGTTTTTCTTTTCATGTCCAAGTATAATGAAAACCTACCTATCTAGAAAGGCAAAAAAAAAGACTAATAATAAATTTTTTTTATCAAATTTCGATAGGGATGTGATGTGGTAAAAGAGGGAAGGGAATCATGTAGTTGGATTTGATTCTCATCGTAAACGGTCCCCTTTTTTTTATCCTTTATTTTTTATAACCAAAAAAAAAAAAAAAAGGGGGGGGGGAATTGTTTCGACTTATATCTAGAGTTTGATAGTTTTGTTTTTCATGTTGATAAATAGAAATATACATACATACATATACATATACACATATATATATATATCCATAGTTTAGGGCCAGATTATCTATGTTGGGTAAAGTCAAACACTCAATAGGATAAAAAAATCATTTCATGAACTCAAAGTTCAACCACCACCGTCGATGGTAAAAATACAATTTTCCAAAACAAGTAAAAAAAAAAAAGGAATAAGGGCCGCTGGTCTAGTGGTATGATTCTCGCTTAGGGCTCACCCTGAACAAATTGTTGTTGCGAGAGGTCCCGGGTTCAATCCCCGGGTGGCCCCCTTTTTTCTCATCCTATGGACCTCAATTCTTGTGAGATCTGATATTTTTTTTTGGGGGGGGGGTTGTTTCAAAGGTCTCTTCTCCCCCTCCCCCCTTCCCCTCACCTCTTCCTCGGAAACTATGAGAAAAAAAAAAGATAGGTATGATTCAGAGGGGTGTATGGCCATGATGGGTTGGTTAATGATACAAGGTGGCCGAACTGGCATGTGTGGTTATGTAATGAACATGATGTGAATATATTCATGTAGTTTAACGTATTTATAAGATTGATGCATATCAATCACCCAATATTTGAAAGCATGAATTCCCAACCCCAACCCCAAAATAAAAACACCGCGCTGTTGATAATGATGTTTCCATAAAATAGTTCCCCCCCCCTTTTTTTCCCCCCGAATTGTCCCCATGATTTGGCCCCCCTAAAAGTACGTTATATCTTGCCAAGAAACAATTCCCCTTTTCTCGTATCACATTAGATCCGATCCCCATGTCTCTCTCTCTCTCCTTTTACACACACAACCAACTTTTCTATTCCCCTTCAAGGGGAATATCAACCTTTTCGGCATTTACGTACCAAACTGCCGCCTCAATGATTCGGCAGACAATTCGCAAATCACTCTCATCTGATAAAACGAAAAAAAAGTTAGCTGAACTGCGGCTTGCAGGTATTATGAATGTGTGAAAAACAAAAGTTTTTTTTCTTCTGTAAACTCACTCCTGGGCGCGTAGATCATGGTGAAGGTGGTCGGTACGGGCGCGCGGATCCATCCCTTCCAGGCCATGGGGTGCCTCTGGCCCCACCCCTTCTCCAGGATCTCCTTGATGTCGTCCGGGTGGAGGTTCATGTGCATCGACCGGTCCGAGCTGTGGATGTGGACGATCTCGCCGTTGCCGCAGACGTTCAGCGGGTGGCGCGAGAAGAGCGCGAACCCGTGCTTCTCGAGGCACGAGGTGGCCGTGACGAAGCTTTTGGGCTGCCTGACGGTCAGGGCCTCGATGCTGGCGCGGAGCCTGTTGTACTCTGGCACCGAGCCGTGCTCGTCGAGCTGCCTCTGCGGGGCGAGGCCGGCGACGTTCGGCCTCGGTCCCGGGCGGTACGGAAGATCACGGAGGATGCCGGCCGACGGCTGCTCGACGGTGTCCCGAGGAGGAGCAGTGAAGGGGTCCCGGAGGGTGAACAGCCGATACCAGGTTAGCCTGGCGTAGCCTGCCGGCGTTGGGGGAGTGCCGCCTGGGCCGAGTTTCAAAAAGTTGAGGTAGTCGTTGTGGATGAGGAGGGCAACGGGCACGGCGATGATGAGGAATTCGAGGAAGAGGTGGTCTATGAAGTGCATGCTGAGAACCATGAGGATTGACAGGGCCAGGAGGGCGTTGGCGTCGAGTGTGACGTAGAAGGGGTCCTGGCGGATCACCATGTTGATAGAGACCTGGTTGGACTCATCATTGGTCCCCGCCGTAGTAGCCTTGCAAGGCTCTGAGGTGACCGTGAGCGACATGTTCGATCACGAGGAGGGAGTGATAACCCGAAGGCCTGATAGCCAGTTGGTGTTGGGGTGAGTGCCGTGGGGGGTTTCGTAGCAGTGACCGATGGTCTGTGATCAGTGATGTTTATGACTTTGATCTTCCCATCGTATTTTGAGGTGGCATTATCTCAAATTATATATGTTTGTGCGACCAATGTGGATGAGAGGAGGACGAGGGGTGTCATAGAAAACTACCCCCCCAGCTAGGCATGGATTGTAACGTACAGTAGGTGGTAACGGCTGGGGGGCCTATCAACGACTGACGGAATGTCATGGTGTGTGTGTGTGTGTGTGTGTGTCTCGCTCTCTTGCAGATTATCGGACTTTGACAGCTAGGGGTGACTGCAGCGGGCTTTTTGCCACGACAATACGGAGTACAGAGCGAGATGCTCGAGAGATGCGGATAGGTCACATGACAGTCCGATGCGGTCACCATGCGTTCATTACGTCTATGACACCCAGCAGCTTCTGGGTACCGGTACGGCCCTCCTCCTCCTCCTCTCACTTGACGTAGTATAAAGCCAGCCTGTTGGCCAGATAGTTTGGGTGATGCTGAGATTCCCCGGAAAGGCTGAAAGGTTGTGCGACCCGATAATGGGTACTCGTCCCGAGCCGCCGTCCGAGGTGAACTATGTCTGTTTTAGGGTGCTAGTCGATTAGTTCAAAAACCGACGTGTTACAAAATAGGAGTGTAAAATGCCAGACTCTACACTACACGAAGAGAGTGATTACTACTGCTCGCTGAGCAATGCCGCTCGAATGGTGGGGGGAAAAGAAGCTCGCAATCCATTACTATCATGAGCCCGGTTTATTGTTCAGGCGCTGATCGTCGATCCTGGACCCCGATGACGTTCAAGAGCATAAGTGAGCCGTCAACCATTCAGCGTTTAGCCGAAGTCGGATGCTGAATGCTATACATCTTTGCGCAGAGTTCTCCGCAAACTTGACAGAGGTTTTTTTTTTTTTTTTTTTTTTTTTTCTTGGTATGTGATAGGTAACAAGGGGTAGTACAGCACTTTCCGCTATGTTTTCCTCGTGACGGACAAAAAGAGCTCCTTTGGAATCTTACCGCAGATACCCTTCTTTTCGACTGGACAACTCGCATCCTACGGACCGCAGCCGTCTCCCAAGGATTCCCCATTTCCGACAACCGGGTCATACGATGGGCACACTTCAAGTTGGCGAGAAGAATGAGGGCATTTCTATTCGTCAATCCCGAGCAAAAAAACTTTGACCCACTGCAAGCCACTCGATCGGTGCGGGGATCGCAACGGCTGGAATGGCATAGTCCGAAGGCAAGGGCGTATGTTACTTGGAGCTTTGGCTTTGGTCTTCACAGAGAAGATGTTGTCAAACATTACCATGGAGGGTTAGCATCCGACGTAGTTTTGCGCGCCATGCTGGGGCACTGCGATCCTCGTGCGAAGAGATTACCATCCTGCAGATTTTGGAATGAAACAGACCTGGCGTTTTGTCCAGAGCAAACACTCGGACCAAACACACAAGACACGGTCTGGGGGTGGGGCCGGCGGAGGAGGCCGGCCCGTTGACCTTGCCTCCGGGAAATCGGGAGCTTGGGTAGTTGGCTCCCGGGGCCGACCTCCCTGCGATGATGGTGAGATGGATTGGATGGTATAGGTAAATTCTACGTGGCAGCAGACTTGTGCACGGTGTGGATGACGTGAGCCCGCGCGCTCTTGGGCTCTGGTGGGCTCTGGCGGGCTCTGGTGGTACCAAAAATGCGTATCATGTCAAAGGCGTCGCTGATTGGCCTGCGCGTCCCCCTGGGCTGGTGTCAAAAAAGATCCGCGTAAAGGGACTCGGCAGCGGGTCTTGGCGTCCCCACAACCCACCCGTTGCCAAGCATCACCCTTGACAGTTTGTAATTTGCATGGAGCACATGCTGTTCGTCAACTCCGTTGCGGCCTTTCCACACACCCTCTCCAAAAAGGGTCTGCGACAATCTGATTCGCAAAAAAATGCCGACGGCAAGGCAGAGAGAACCTTTCAGACGTTCCATCCATCCATCCCTCTAAATTGTGGTAGGTCGATCGGCCGGGACCCTTGCGGGCGGGCGGCCTGCGATTGCGATTGCTTGGAATGAAACATGAAACCGCACACCCACCAAAATAGGAATCCATGCTTGCCGCCATGCCATTCGCCCACTCGCCCATTCGCCGAGCTTTCCCACATGCCATTTACACTGCTCAGCTCCTTTTCATATGCACGCTTACACTTCGACTCCGATCTTCATTCAGCCTCAAAAGTGGGTGCATAAGATGGTAAAAAGCAGCTTGCGCGACCCTTCGAGTGGATGCCGCATCGGGTCACCGGGCATTGCAAGAGACCGGTAATCTCTCCGTCTGATCTGAACAACAAGCACTTGGACTCGACACTTGACTCCTGCGAGGGGGCGGCAAGAGACATTGCTGAGTAGTGATTGACCCTTTTTCAAAGTCTCTGACCGACACAACCAGCCACCCCCCGCGCCAACAATCAAAGCCGCAGGTCGCAAAGTCATCCTCCACTCCCGGCTCTCCGGCACATCCTAACGGCGTTTCTGGAGGGCGCACTGCCCGGGAGATTCATTTTGAAAAAGACTTTGATCCACCAGTTTGATTTCGGGGGGTTTTAGTTTTTTGGGTGGCTATCCCAAGATCCATGCTTTTGTTCTTTTCCCTTTTCACCTGACCCCTTCGGTTGCCTGTGCGCTTCCCGTTGCTTCCGCGGATTCGGGTCCTTTTATGCTAGGTTTCCCTGTGATCATCAGGAAGCCATTCAACTTTTATTCCACTTTTCAGTGTCGGTCTCGACTCGACGATATCCTCAACCGTCTTCCTGACTTTCTTTGAATTCCCAGTCGTTCATTATTATAAAATACTGTCTTCTCGACTTTTATTTCCTTTTTATTTTATAAAATAAATTAGCTCTTTTTTTTTTCTTTCTTCTTCTCTCGAGTGCGCCGGATATCATTATTAATCTGCATGATTCGTTAAAAATGCATCTTCAACTTTGGCAGTCTTCGCTTCTTCCTCTCGCTCTCCTTAACGCTCCGCTGCTCGTTTCGGCCGAGCCTATCCCGGTGCTTCAACAACATCAGAAACATGATTTGATGCTCAGTCCGAGAGCGCGCCCGAACGCGCCGGATGGCTATGCACCCGCCCCCGTGCCTTGCCCCAAGGACAAGCCCAAGCTCCGCGTGGCCGGCGCCGTCTCGGACCGGGAGACGGCATGGCTCGCAAAGAGACGCAAGGAAACCGTTGCCCCCATGACTGAATTCCTTACCCGCGCCAACATCCCCGGTTTCGATGCCGGCGCCTATATCAAAAAGGTTGCCGACGGCGTCAAGGATCTCCCAAACATCGCCATTGCTGTCTCTGGTGGTGGATATCGCGCCTTGTTGAACGGTGGCGGCTTCGTGGCTGCTGCCGACAGCCGAACCAGTGGTGCCACTGACAAGGGCGGCATCGGCGGACTGC